ACAGTAAAACTCTCTGGACTGCATCCGGTCGACCGCCACGGTCGACCGTGAGCCTCTAAAAAACTTACTGAGTCTCTGGACTAATGGGCTGTCGACCATGGCGGTCGACCGCAAACAAATATATGAAAAATATTTTTTGAAAGTTGTTTTCTGATTTTAAAACACTGTTTAAAAATATCAAATAAATTCTAAAAAATGTAAAACTTTGGGAAATAATTATAGACATGATAATAAACATGCTACAATAACCGGTTTTCAAAAAGGACCTCCCAAATAAAAAATATTATCATTTTGCAAAATAGTCCAAAACATAAAAATGTAAACATATGAGTTTTGACATTTTAGCTTAACCATGTTTTGAAACATTACAAAATGATTATATAGACTTAATAAAAGATGTGTATGATTGTTATTAAGTCCATAAACCAAGAAAAAAATATTTTTACAAAATTGCATATTTTGCAAACATTTCAAAAGTAAATATGGTTTCATTGAACTAAATAAAATTGATATTTGATGAAATCATATATATGCATGTAAGTATGAAACAAAAATATGTTTTCTAATTATATTCAATTGTTTCATATTAAAACTTGAAAACTATCAAACCAAAACATATATGTATATATATAACTATATAACTATATAACTATATATATATATATATATATATATACAAAACCAAAACGTGTATGTGTGTATATGATTGAGCTTAAAGTACTAACACGCATAATATAAAACCTAAACTAAATTTACCCAAGCTTGTGATCTTCAACGAAGCTCTATCTTGATACACTTGCGGATGAAGCTTGAACTTGAATCTTTAACTTTGAATTGCGTAGGCTTCACTCCACAATTCCGCCAACCTCCATTGGATATGATCGTAAATACGCAATTCCATCCATCCTTCAACATGTTGTTTGTCTATAATAAATAAGAAAACACAAATACTAGACAAACAACATTAATGGTAAATTGTTTGTTAAACATTATCAAAACAAGAATGCCAACAATTTGATCACATGATTTGATCACAATCAGTGGGAGGGGAGGTTGTGGGTAGTGATGAGGCAAGCATCTAGTCTAGTTTGAAGCTTTCATTAGGAACTTGGCTTTTCAAGTGGACAACATTGAACTTGATTGGTTATTTGATAATGCAAGAAGTGTTGGTTATTAATATTTTTGTTATGGTGAATGTTTTGAATTTGAGGGTTTAAGTTTAAGATAACTTAAGGATTGGGTAATCTATTAGCAATTTCAATCATTGGAGAGATTACATTTAAAATAACTTAATGAATTACATTGAAAATAACTTAAGGAATGTTAAGGGACATTAATGATTTGGGGGGTCTTTAAAATATTAAAGATTTAAGGGACTATTATCGAAATGGCCTTTTCTTAAAATTTATTTCTAGTGAGGTTATTAATCAACTAAGCTTCATGTTTGTGAATTGATTAACTGTTTTCATTTTTTAGCTATTAACTAATTTTTATTATTTTCTTTTATATTATGGAATTTCTAATGTAGAGAAGATAGTTTAGTTTCTATTCTCTCTTACAAGTTACAATACAAGTTACTTTAGCTTTCTATTCTTTCTACTATCTATTCATTTTTTAATTTGAATGATAATATTACTACTTCCTAAATCATCGGATTATGAAGCATATGAACGTTTATACTATATTGTGCCCTTGATAAGACAGATTGAGAAATATAACAACCAATGATGAAAATAGTTATGTTAATCTCTATTCCAGTATGTATGATTTTACTCTAGAATGACCAGAATTTCTTTCTAATTCTTTACTTTAGATCTTTATTTTTTGCATTATATAACTTCGTCATTTTCCTATCTATGAAACATATTGAGAACATGAACAAATATATTTGCGTGCAACGCACGTGCACTATAATAGTTAAGTTAAAAGATTTTTCACACCCATTATTCATAAACCTGAGGCTTGCATTAAAAGTAGCCGCTGGTACATTTAGGTTACCTTCTACATTCTTGGTGGTTCGAGTAATTTTAATTCCCACTTCCATTTGGGAACTTGGCTTATAATCCACAAATAAAATATAAGCTAAAGAATTTTGTTTAAATAATGGATTATAAGCCACTTTTTATAAGAAAGTGTTTGGCAAATTGGTAGATTATAATCCATTATTGTTGTCAAAATAATCAAATTGGACATAGCTCTAAATTTAAACATTAAATAGATTTTAAAGTTATCCTAAACATTGAGGGGGTAAACTTGACATTTACTTAGTCAAACTATATGGCTTATAAGCCACTGAAAAAATAAGCTGGATTAGGGGAGCTTTTTTTTTTTTTGCTTATAAATAAAAATAAGCTGATTGCCAAACATATTGTAGTGGCTTATAATGCAAAAAAGAAAAAGAAAAAGGTTTATAGCGAGTTTGACGAATTGCCAAATATGCTTAGTGCATTGGTTGACAAATAGTTAACATGTCAGCCTCTTGTCTACGAGCAAAATACTAGCTACCAAACATTAGCATTCTCAGCCTTCTTATAATCCGAACACAGGCAGCGTAAGTAACGAGTCCCAGATTCCACAACCATCTTAATTAACAGAAATACAACTATAGGAACAATCAAATACATAGGTAAATACGAATAGGTAGATTTCATAGAGATCACCATGAGACACTGATTTCTTCTACCCTTCACAACTCAAGAGACCAATAACATCCCCAGCACTAGTCAGCCATCTGCAATAAATAACCAAACAAGAAAACAATATTCAGACTAGACCATTAATGGACGCAGTCAAGCATCCTAGGCACTGATTTTTACATTATAAAATCAAAATCCAATTTTGATATAGCAAAGAGGGGAAAAAAAACTTTAAGGTATTTAAACACTCAATTATCATTATAAGCTCGATTAGTCAATCATCATTATATGAATTAAAAAAGCTAAGACTAGTAATAAGCACTTACATTAAAGGATTGAAATTGAGAGCTGAGTTTTGGAGTAATAAGCCTCCTCGGTATCGACCCATGACCTCTTTCTCTTCTCATCACTCTCACTAAACAAGCACAATAAAGGTTTAGCCTTCTGAGCTTCTTTCTTCCTCTTTTCTTCCTCTGATTCTTCTTTAAAGAAATTGTAGCACTTATAACTTTGATTACAAGGTGAAGAAGGTCCTAAAATCAATTGGGTATCATTGTCTATGCTTCTAAATGTATTGTTTAATGCTAATTTAGGAAATTCCACAAGCTTTCTTGAACTCTTTTTCCCCCTGTGCATATGTCTCTCACAGTATTTTGAGTCTAGAAATGCCTCTTTAGAGCACCTCCACTTCTTCCCATCTGTCCTCTTGCATCTCCATGGCTCTGGATCTTCCTCTGTTTTCTTCACAAATCTCACTACCAACCAAATAATAGAGAAAATAAGAAAAGGGCTACAAGGAGCTTAAAGAATAAAGGGAGGGAACTCACTTGATGGGTAGTGGTCAAAGAAGTAGATGCTTCTCTTGAAATGGGTAATGAGATGAGAAGGGACCGGGATCCCTGAGATTATGTAGTTGAAGATGAGGGTTTGGAGCTCGAACTCTTTAAGCTGGGATTCTGTGAATGGATGTCTTTGATTTACCATCATCATCATGATTATTTATTTTTTTTAAAGAAGGCGAGAAGAGAAAACAAGGGGAGTAGAAATAGAATGAGAAATGAGAGGAGGAAGATGTTGCTTTTATTTATTAAGGTATCAATTAGTTTTTTTAATAATAAATTGGTCGTCTGTTTTTGGTGCAGAGGAAGTGTCATTCAGTCAAAAGGAGCACTCTGAGGAAAGATACTGTCAATGTTGTCTGTGATCGATTATTTTGTGTTCTGAGATTCAATGAAACCTGGGTCGTGCATCGATTGTGTCAAATGTGCATCTCTGTCTCTCTTTATCGCATACGCTGATTTTGGTCCAAAACCTAAAAATGTAAAGTTATTAAATGCAAATCAGTTAATTGCAGGCGTGCAGGTTTACTCATTGAGATTTATTGGATTAATATATGCTAACAAAATTCCTTGAATTTGAAGATTAGGAGATTTACCTGTTACGCGCTGTGCCGAAGCGTGTCCGACAACCAAACGAACCGGTGAGCGATGATAAGAAGAGAACCAAATCAAATTATGAGTGCAATTCACCAAAATACGACACAAATCAAACCAAACACAGGAATTTACGTGGTTCGATAATTGCCTACGTCCACGGGAAGAGGATTGAGAGATTTTACTATAGAAGGAGAAATACAACATATTATAACTCACAAAATTACTCAAATATAACCCTAACCAAAGCTCTCAAATTCCTCACAATATCTCATTCTCAAAGTGCTCAAAACAATGTTAATTCTTTCTTTAAGAAACCCTAAAAAACATATTTCTATTTCTAACAAAACACAATCTCAACCATTGTGGGAATCTGAAAACGAGTCTGCCACACCCGGGTATGGCACACACCACATCCCTGAAATAAGGGCAAATTCTGCCACACTCGGGTATGGCAGACACCACACCCCTGACAACAGGGGCAGATTCTATGACACCCCTGCCGAATCTTCATGTTTGCCAACACTTTGAACAATTTGACACATTTTTCTATAATTCTCCACTTCGGCAAAGAGTTCCCAAAAGTGAGCCGACACCAACATGAGCACCAATGTGTCGTCTCATCAAATGCGGCTGCTGTGGTTGCCTACTAGGAGTGCTAAACTATATTCGTATCCGTTAGGATACGAATATTGTTACTCAAATCTATAACTGATAGGATATGGTTAAGAATATGGTTTTATAGTGAAACATCTGTATCCGTAACCGAAATATCCGAATACATATTAGTCATACTCTTATGATAGTTTCGATTCTTAGGTTATGGATTTGTGGTTAATTTTGATGATCAAGATGTCTAATTTTAACTTTTCAATTATAATGGACATATTAACAAACTCTTTTGTATCACATGAACTATGTTTTTCTCAATACTATCTAGTTTTCTCATATTTGTTTTGTATCCGCATGCATATCCGTATCTATATCTGTAACCGTATCCGATTTTAGCGGATATGGTTATAAATTTTTCTTACCAAGGTATATTCGTATCTGTATCCGTATCCGAGATGAGTAAGTAGATATAGATATGGTAAGCATCATATCTGAGCCGTATCCGGATCGAATGCACCCTTATTGCCTACGTACCCCCTCTCCCAAGGAATCAAGCCGCCCGTAGTTCATCCAAATGGCCGCAAAAGACCTTAACAATCATGAATTTACAACAAGTTTCTACAATGATCAAACTTGTTGGTCGGGACCATTTTCGTGAGCATATTCGTTGGATTATCTTTTGTATGGACATTCACGAGCTCCACATCCTCATCTTGAAGAACATCTCAAACGAAGTGATAATGAACGTCGATATGCTTCGTCTTCGCCTGAAAACCCGATTCATCACTAAATAAATAGCACTCATGACAAAACCTTCTTTGCTAAATTGGACAGACTATTCACGTTATCTCCAAAGTGAACCATTTGAGAGTTCTCATAACGAAACCTTCTTTGCTAAATTGTCATCTCGCAAAATGGGCGATACTTCTGTCGTAGTATTCAATGCAGTTCATGCCTCAGAAGGCTGTTAAAGGCTAAGCCCTGGCAGTTTTCTTAGCTAACCATTCTGTGACGCCCTTGGGTTCACACAAGGCTGCAGTCCAAGGTAAAACCAGGAATGTTAAACCTTCCATATACCACACCGTACAATAACATATTTTACCATCATAATTACTATCTCTCTACTAGAGTCAACAACATGTGTAGGTACAAAAGCAAGTAAAAGATAATACAAGAGATATATAATGAAATAATAGAGATAAAAATGATATTTCATCATCCAACATACAAAAATATAAAGTAAATCTCAGAAATAACTAGTCTGGAGATCTTAACAAGTCTCAAATACAGAATATCTGATAAAAATAAATAAGGCACATAACATTTACAACTTCTAGAACATAACTCTCAAATGTCTAAACAAAATGTCTACAGTGAAGCTCCATAAATAAAATAAAACTACAAATGAAAGATGAACGCTAATAAGTATCGCCATTAACCTACGACTCTCTGTGCACCTGGCTCGTTACCTGAAATGGGAAGGGACAACGAGCGTCAAAGCGCTAGCGAGCAACATCACAACCAACCCCAAGGGAGAGGGCTCGTTGCATATAGAAAATAAAGTTAATACATATATACATGAAATCATTGATCCTAATAATAAGAGAATTTTAGTATTTAGGAAATTACAACACGAGCATAGGTACGTCGAGTGAAATAATCCAAACAAGGAAACCATCATGTATATACCTTGTATTTCAAATTGTAAATCCCTAAGTACCAAACCCAATATCTAATACAGGAACAATAATATAAAAAAGACTAACCCATCTCAGAACTCAAATACCATGTCATGTCAAAACCCACATAAGTGTCATGTCCAGCCTATGTAAGTGTAAGTATCATACTCAAGGTTTAAATAGGTATCCAACACATGGACTAAGACTAGGTGTAGTGGATGCCTAACACATGGACTACATATATAAATTGTCCAACACATGGAGTGGATGATGAATATCCAACACATGGACTGTACATAATAATTGCCCAACACATGGACTGAATGAAATGTGTAGAATATCGATGAGATATATGAAAAGGATGCATATACACTAATTTCACACGTGTCTCAGTGTGCAAATCTAAACTCGTGTTCGCAAGCCATCTCACATATGAAGATATATAATAAACAATAATTTCTAACGCCAAAAATTTGAGGCGACTCCTCGTTCACATTAAAACACACAACAAAAGTAAACATGCACAAACTGTACCGACGATCAACCAAAACAGGCAGAAACCCTTCACAGGTTTCTGTCTGCTTCGAAACAAATCTAGAAGTAACATCATTATTTTCCAAGCATAATATTGCTGATATCAACGTATATGAAACAACATGCAACGATAACATGTAAATATATCGTCGAAACCCTAAACATTTATATACACATGTTTAAACGTTTTAAAAGTAAAAACTTATGATTTAATTCATGATTAATAAATTTTAGATCTGAAATTTGTCAAGATTACTGTTGTAATCAATTAGAAAATTATGATAATGTATTCTCACTTCATAAGTTATAAAGATCTATCTTTTGTACACTAAAAATACGTTTTAGGCTCGAAAAATCCGAATAAAACTTAATAAAACGTGCAAAATAAAAGGGTGCATAGTTAGGCGAGGTGTTACTCACCTCATATGCTGAAAAACTCCTACCACATGAAAGAGAATCAATCCCCTTCGCTGCACTGCACAAAACCCGTTGAAAATCCTCTAAAATCCCTTAAAATCACCAAAGAAAAGAACTAGGGTTTGAGAGAGGGGAAAAGGGGCTGCTAGGGTTTGGAACACAGAAGAAAAAAGGTGTTTTTCTTGTTTAAATATGTGTATATATAACATCAAACCCGAAAAACTACAGCCCAAAACCCGAAACCCGAAACTGGAAAACCCAGTCTGATTAGAAATATACTCTTTGGTATTTTGACTGTAACTTTTGTATCTGATCACGGAATGAGGTGATTAAAGATTGTTGGAAAGCTGCTGAAGATATCTACGACTTTGGTCTTTTAAGTTTTTCCATATTCACAACGTATCAGTGTGTAAAATACAAAATCTCTCCACTAATCATAAATTTTCAGATTTATACATCGAGCATGATTTGTGAATTTGCTCTTATATATATACACACACATATATATATATATATATATATAATATGTTATTTATAAATATATAACATATTTATTATTATTTATCATAAAATATTTAAATTTTTTGGGGCTTTACATTCTTCCCCCCTTAGAAGAATTTTATCCTCGAAATTCATAAATCATACTTAACTGAAAGATAGTATTAGAAAGCATGTTGAGGGTGAAATCCAACCAGCACATACACCTCTCATAATATTAAACTCTTGATAAGCGTATAGGGATATTTATACTTAACAATCCAGAATGACTATATTCTCACTTAACCCTTAATCAAATGGAATTAGTACGTCGGGCAAAAAATCCAAACAAGGAACCCCCCATATATATACCATATGTTCCAAAAGATTAAGAATTAAGCAAAAATATCCTCATTCTAGCATTAAATCTAAGGGTTTTTTATTTCTAGGCCCATTTGTTTACTCATCTTTACCTCTAAGCCCAATAACTATTCTTTGTATTCTTAAACCCAAGTTTCTTTTTGTTTTTGCCTTTAAACCCAATTTCTAAAATACTGTATATACAACACTGGTATTCATACCCAAACATGATAAAAACCCTAAAATACCCTTCAATACCCCCACTTAAACCAGACCCCCCCTCTCTCTCTCCTCATTTTCCTTCTTCCTCAGGTCTTCGTCTTCCTCCTTCCTCAAGGCTTTGTCTTCCTCCTCCGATCCCACCTCTCATGCCCCCTCCAAGAAATCGAAGAAGAAAGGAAGAAAGGCCCATGATTTTAGTGCTTGATGTCTTGAAAAGGCCCACGACGGATCTCGAGGCAGCCGGACACACCTCCACCCTCTCCAACGAGACACTACAATTCTTCAACGATCAACAAGATGCTTGATGATTTTGGCTTCGGGATCTCTTTC